AGAGAGAGAGAGAGAGAGAGAGAGAGAGAGAGAGAGAGAGAGAGTATGTCCCTGCTTGTATTTGTGCAGACCAGAGGTTGAGAAAAGGTGTCTTGTGTCACACTCCACGTTATGTTTGTTAGGCAGATTGTCACTGAACGTGGAGTTCACGAATCCAGCTAGACTAGCTGCCGACAGGTATCACTGTTCCCACAACAGGATCCCTGTCTCCTCTTCCAGTACTAGGAGATAGGCTTATCCCGTTCTGCTTAGTTTTGTTTGTTTGTTTGTTTGTTTCTACATGGGCTCTGGGGATCTGAACTCAGGTCCTCAAGCTTCTAATGTTATCTCCTCAGCCCTTATTATTGTTGTTGCTCCAAATTTTGAGATAAATTTATACTGGCAACAGCTGTAGTCCCTCTATTTTTTTTTTCAAGGCAGGGTTTTTCTGTAGCATATTACCTAAGAATGAGTAGTGAGCACGCATACCACCAGGGTCTCTTTGGAGAAAGCGCATACAAGGAGCCAAGAAGAAACAATTGTGTCAACCAAGACACTAGGCACACAATGGGCTTGTGTCTCAGCTAGGCAAGGCCCCTTGTTACCCAATTGGCTACTAGCTGACCTTCCCTAGCTTCCACCCTCATGTGTCATTATTTTCCCAGATAACAAGCATAGCCTCTTCAGAGAAAGCTTCTCCAAGTTCGTTATCACAAAATTGTCATAGAACACTCCTGTGGACAACTCAGGACGGAAAGGGTTGGAAACAGAATTGCTTTGCATTACAAATCATTTTCTCACCATTTATGCATTAAGTCTTTCAATTACAAGAAATCAATCAAAAAACCAATATAAAGAAAAATGTAATAGAATAAACAATTACATCAGGAAGGAGACAGAACTTAAGTGAACCGAATAAAAGGCTGGAATGCTTACCTTGAAATTGCTTTCTATTGCTGTGATGAAACATGACTAGAACCATCATGGGGAAGAAATAGAGGAAGTAAGCTAGTTCTAGGACATCCCAAGCGATTCCTCTTGGGTGCGAACAGAGCTAATGCTTCAAGCTTACTAAGTGCAAATGCAAGAAAAGCCAAGAAGGGCACAACTTCTCAGACAATGATGAACTGTGCTGTGAAGAGAAACACTCCAACCTTCACGCGACCGTCCTTGCGGAGGCGGGTCGACCGCTCAGGAGTGTCTGCACAATGTCAGAAGCCAAGGTACACTTGCGTTGCTGCTGTGTCCCCTGCCCCCACATCTCTATGCAATGATATAAGCTATTTGAGGGTGGCACCAATCAGGGATTTGCTTTTCATCGGCCCTTTTCCACTTCAGCCAATTCCTTCCTTCCGCTTTCTTTTTTTTTTTTTTTTTTTTTTTGTGCCTTGTACCCTAGAGGTTACCTCTGGCATGTTTCCTGGTTTTTGCATCTCTCCTGGCAAAGTGTCCATGGTTCTAGTTGGCTGCTGCCCCTCCCTGTCCCTCTCCTCCCTTCCCCCAGACTGCTTCAAAGCGGCAGATCAGTCACCTTTCAGTGGCTCTTGGTTCAGGTGGGCAGTGTTTGCCCACACCCTATGCCCTGCGTGGAGTCAGTCCCAACTTCCAGGGCCTCATTTCCCAAGGGCTGGCCTCCTTGGTTCAGGACATGCCCTGACCTCCTGGAGCCATGGAGGCTAGGGGCTGGTATTCACCTTAAAATGTGTCTTTCTTTCCATAGTAACAGTGTAAATATCAGGGGTGGTGGCGTTGAAAGCTGGGACCTCTGGTTAGATGTGAGAGACCAGAGATATTTCATTTTTAAGAAATGTATGATTTTAAATATTAACTTCCCACAGGTAGACATTTGACAACACAGCCACCACTTCCCTCAGGAGTGTGGGTGCCCCCTGGGGGGGGCCTGTGGTTGGTGAACAGCCGAGAGCAAGCGGGGAAGGAGTAAATTTGATCACATGTGATGTCATAATGAAACCCATTGTTCTGTACAATGAATAAACCCTGATAAAAAGCTTTTAAAAAAATAAAAGCAGTGGTCCAATTCCCAGCATCCCCATGGCAACCCACAGCCATATTCCAGGGGATTCAACACCCTCTTCTGGTTTGGCAGACACGGTGCACCGATATACATTCAAGCAGAACATAGATCCATAGAATAAAAAAAAAAAAATCTTTAATTTTTAAAATTTGGCATGATTTCACACCTAAAGTTGTAATTTGGGTGTATAATACTTCCTTTGTTCCTCGCCTTCGTTACTTTGACATTGAACAACTTTTCAGTTCCATTTATTTATTTATTTATTTATTTAGTGTGTGTATGTGTGCATGCCACACAGGAACATGAAGTCAGAGGGAAACTCATAGGAACCGGTTCTCCCCTTCCACTGGATGCGTCTCAGGGATTGAGCTCAGCCTGTCAGGGCTGCAGCCGGCACCTGCGCCTGCTGTGTCTTCTCGTTGACCCTGACTTGACATTTTAAACAAGTGTAACCAGTTTATATTTATATATGTGTGTGTGTGTGTGTGTGTGTGTGTGTGTGTGTGTATTCCCTAAATTTGGGGTTATCCGGGTTTCCTCCGTCAGGTCATTCACTTTTAGTGTTGTGTTTTTAGTGTATCATATCTGGAGGACACACCATCACTTGAGGCTTAGTGTAGCTTGAGGCTGTACCCTGTAGTAATACTGTCTGGTTATTCTATCTTTGCCAAACTTCTGCCCATCTTTTTGTTTGGTTTGGTTTGGTTTGGTTTTTCGAGACAGGGTTTCTCTCTGTAGCCCTGGCTGTCCTGGAACTCGCTCTGTAGACCAGGCTGGCCTCGAACTCACAGAGATCCACCTGCCTCTGCCTCCCGAGTGCTGGAATTAAAGGCGTGTGCCAGCACGCCCGGCTCATTGACCATCTTGTATTAGCAACCATTGATGATTTTGTGTGTGTGTGTGTGTGTGTGTGTGTGTGTGTTCGTGTGTGTAGAGCGGAGGACCACCTCATGTATGTTTCCTCAGGAGTTACACCTTGTTTTATGAGACAGTGTTTCACTGGCGTAGAGCTACCAGTTAGGCCATGCTGGATTTTGTCTCCGGCTCCTGCCCGAGTGCTGGGATTGCAAATGTGCTGCCGTGTGGGTCCTGGGGATTGAACTGAGACCCTCATCTTGTGTAGCAAGTGCTTTGCCAACTGGGCCACCTCCGCTAACCCGCTAACTCTTGCCTGAGTCATTCCGTTTCTGTCACAGTCTTTTCTTTTCCCTTCCAGCACACTGCTTGCCCTCTGTCTTGTGGAACATTTGAAGAATCAAGAAAGGTCAGAGTGGAGGGTTCGCAAGGCTCAAGGATGAAAGTGGCCCCAAACATGAGGTGCAGGACCGCCCTCCGGCTCAGGGTTGGAGCAAGAGGCAGAGGGGGGGGGGCAAAAGTGGGTGGGTGGGGAGCAGGGAGGCAGCTGCTGTCTGGGGTAGAGGCAAGTCAGGCCTCTCTGCGAGACGTTCGAGACGTACCGAGCTGAGGTAGAGTGTTGGCAAAGGGAAGGTGGACAGAGGTAAAGAGGGCTTTTCTAAGCCTTTCTTTAGAACGCAGGGGCAGGGGCCTCACCAGCTCCTGGCCAGCCTGGGCTGCATAGTACGTCCCTTTCTTACTAAAACAGCAGACAAAAGCTAGCCCTCCCCCTCTTTGTAGCTCAAGGCTGTCCTCAAAGGCATGGCGGTGCTCCCGGCGGTGCTCCCGGAAGTGCTCCCGGCGGCGCTCCCGGCGGTGCTCCTGGTGATGCTCCCGGCGGCGCTCGCTCCCGGCAGTGCTCCTGGCGATGCTCCTGGCGATGCTCCCGGCAGTGCTCCCGGCGGTGCTCCCGGTGGTGCTCCCGGCGGCGCTCCCGGCGGTGCTCCTGGTGATGCTCCCGGCGGCGCTCGCTCCCGGCAGTGCTCCTGGCGATGCTCCCGGCAGTGCTCCCGGCAGTGCTCCCGGCGGTGCTCCCGGCGGCGCTCCCGGCGGCCCTGGCGGCGCGCCTGCCTCAGTCTCTTGAAGACTGAGGTTACTACTGGAAGCCCCTGAGAGCTCTGGAGGTCCTTAGTGTGGTCCCTAACTTTCTGTTGACTTTAGCTGCCCAGACTCCTGTCCCTTGGGTTAAAACTGTTTTTTTTTTTTATTTGTTTGTTTGATTTTTGTTTTGTTTGTTTGTTTTTGGTTTTTCAAAACATGGTTTCTTTGTATTGTTTCTGAGCCTGTCCTAGAACTAGCTGGGTAGACCAGGCTGGCCTTGAACTCACAGAGATTAGCCTGCCTCTGCCTCCCAAGTGCTAGGATTAAAGGCATGAGCCACCAACGCCCGGCCTGTGTTAAGACATTTTGAAGAAGTAAACAAGTCATGTAAGAAATGTATGTGTGGTAAGTGTGTGGTGGGTGGGTACAGTGCATACGTGTACATGTGGAGCGTGTGTGAGCGTGTGTGAGCGTGTGTGAGCGTGTGTGAGCGTGTGTGTGTGTGAGCGTGTGTGAGCGTGTGTGTGTGTGAGCGTGTGTGTGAGCGTGTGTGAGCGTGTGTGAGCGTGTGTGAGCGTGTGTGAGCGTGTGTGAGTGTGTGTGAGCGTGTGTGAGCGTGTGTGCGTGTGTGAGCGTGTGTGTGTGTGAGCGTGTGTGAGCGTGTGTGTGCGTGTGTGAGCGTGTGTGTGTGTGAGCGTGTGTGTGTGAGCGTGTGTGAGCGTGTGTGAGCGTGTGTGAGTGTGAGCGTGTGTGAGCGTGTGTGTGTGAGCGTGTGTGAGCGTGTGTGAGCGTGTGTGAGCGTGTGTGTGTGTGAGCGTGTGTGAGCGTGTGTGAGCGTGTGTGAGCGTGTGTGAGCGTGTGTGAGCGTGTGTGAGCGTGTGTGTGGTACGTGTTGGTATAGTATGGGTATGGGGTATAGTACGTGTATGTATTTGTGATGCATGTGAGGGTGAAGGTGCCTGTGTTTAGTGTATGTGCTGTGTGTGTTACATATGGTGCCTGTGTGTGCTATATATATATGTGAGTGTGGTACATGTGTATGTGTTCATGTATGCATGGCATGTATGTGGTGTTTGTGGTGTATGTGTTATGAATGTCAGTAAGTGGAGGGTGTAGAAATGAAATTCTCCTTTGAGATAGTTTGAAACTCAGTGAATAATTAATTAAGCCTAAGAATAATTTCCTAATCAGATTTCACTTAAATATGTGGTATTTGATTTTAAGGGCCATGGAGGAAGGTGAAAGTACACTGTCCCTTGCCCAGGAGGGATCGTCTCTAGGGAATACACCTCCAGAATCTCTCATGACAAAGGCTTCAGAGTCATTGCCCAGAAAAGCCTCATCTGCAGAATCCCAACTTCCTGAGCTGGAGCCAAACTTTGGGGAGTGGGAAGGTGGGGTCTTAATGACCTGGTCTGCGTCTGCCTGGGTGACACGGGCCCAAGTTTCAGAAGCTCAGATGACAAAGGAGGAAAGACTCTTAGAGATGAGAAATATGAACGAGAAAGACAACAAGGTCTTCGCCCCCCGCCCAGTCTGGTCCAGCAAGTTTCAGTACATCCTGGCCCTGATGAGCTACATGCTGATGCCATCTCGTATTTGGCGCTTTGTCTCATTGTGGCTTCACAAGGGAGGCTGTAAGTCTGGGAGCCAGCATATGTGGATCCAGAGGGGCAGCAGGAGGGAGGATGATGCTGGCTCCCAAAGCCGACACCTCTGAGAAGTGCAGATTCTAGAGCATCCTAGAAACCAGGTTTCTCAGCTCCGCAGGGGTTTGAGCATAGCCCAGCGGGGTGCCAAGGCAGGGCGTGTGGGGGTGGGACAGGCACCTGAGACTCCTAGGCATAAAGGGCTTGACCAGTGATGGATGTGGAGCCAGCTAGACTTGAAGCCTGCGGTCTGAGGGAGGTTGCTGCGGGTGAGCAGTCCTCCTGGACACAGAAGGACATACAGACGCTGGGACCCGAGGCTCTCAGAGCCCTCTGCCTTCTCTCCACAGGCAGCTTCCTTATAGTGTACATCTTAATGTTCTTCTTCATTGGGGTCCCTCTCCTCTTCCTGGAGATGGCAGTTGGCCACAGGGCACAGCGTGGCAGCATGGACCTATGGAAGATCCTGAGCCCCTGGTTTGGTGGTGTGGGGTACAGCGTTTTCATGGTGAGGAGCCCCAAGTTTCCCAAGCCTGCCCCTACAGCTGCTCTGGAGTGAACCCCATGGCTGTCCTTCCATCCCTCCGTCCTTGGTCAGACCCCTTCTTCCTCCCTCCCCTGGCTTCTAGGTGTGTTTTGTCACCAACACCTACACGAACTTGTACAATTCCTGGATCCTCTTCTACATGAGCCACATTTTCTACTTCTCTGTCCCGTGGCAGCACTGCCCCTTGCAAAGCAACGCCAGCAGTTTTGGTGAGGAAGAAGTAGAGAAATGGAGAGACTTGGGAAGAGGGGGAAAGAGGAAGGAGGGACATAAAGTAGAAGACAGAAGACAGAGCCGGGGGACGTGGGGATGAAGAGGGAGGGTTTGCCATGTCTAGCAGACCTGTGCAAAGCCATGTCCCCCCAGATCCTGAATGTGAACGGGCAACATCCTACGCGTACTTTTGGTACCAGCAGACCCTGAAAGCCTCAGACAGAATTGAGGATGGAGGGCCACCAGCCTCCAACCTGGCCATACACCTCTTTTTGGCCTGGTGTTTCATTTGTGTTTTCATGATCAATGGGATCAAGTCGTTTGAGAAGGTGAGCTGTCCGCGGCCCTTGGCATTCTCAAGCGCTGTGACCTTGTTTCCCCCTCCTGGCCAGTTACCCCTGCACGCACTTTACCCGGCTGGAAACTCTTCCAAGTCCTAATTGGCCCGCTGAGCTCTACCAAGGGCGAGGCTCTGTTGACAAGCATGCTCTTCGCGCAGGTGCTGTATGTCTTGGTGCCACTTCCCTATTTCATGATCTCCTGCTTCCTCTTCCGGACTCTGTCAATGGAGGGCACCGAATATGGGCTTAAACACCTGCTAATTCTCAAGGTGAGGAACTTCCTTGGCATTCTCAGCTCTTGGGACAACACAGCTGCCGGCCATTATCTCCTGGACTGCCTCCCTTTGAGTAGACAATGTCTCTGCTCTTGGTTGTGCTTTGGCAAATCCTGATGTCCCCATTGTACCCATCTTGTCCTTTTTAGGTGGCAAGCATCTACGACCTAACTATGTGGCTCCAAGCAGGGGTCCAAGTGGTGCTAGACATGGGCGTAGGGCTTGGCCCCATTGTGTACCTGTCCTCTTACATTCCCGGCTCCAACAACTGCTTGAAGGACACCTTCCTTATGGCTGTGATCAAGTTGCTGACCTTGCTATTCACCTCGCCTTTGATCTTCTCCATCCTGGGCTTGTGGGCCACCATAACCACACACCGCTGCTGTAAGAAGTAAGGCCAGTTCCCTGGTGAGGTCTAGCCTGGGCAGCTTCACAACCCATTCACACACTTCAACTTCAGGGAGGCTAAAAGGTCTGCTCCCTCTTAGTGAGAACAGAGGCCAGAGTCCTACACTTTTAACATTAGAGTGCTCCAGAGGTTGCCAACCTCCACCTCAGAGCAGATGTGATAACAGATGTTAAGAATGGCAGGCAAGCCAAGGCCACCCACACAGAGAGCGGCATCTGAGACCACACTTCACAGAGCATCCCAGGGAGTCTGCTTCCTGCACAGTCCCTTAGCTCTGGATCCCCAAATTTAGTATTTTCTGTCTCTCTAGCAAACCTAAACTCCAAAGGGTTAGAGACCATAGGATTCTCTCCCGGCTAGGACTACCCATCTCATTTTGGTCTGACTGACACATTCTATAACCCTATGAGTTCATGGGGTCATTGTGATATATGTGTACATTGCATATGGATAAGAATCAGAGCATCGATCACACTTGCACCTCAGACATTACCACGTCTTTGTAGTGTAAACAAAGTCCCCTCAGGGTGTTTTCTTTTTCGAGACTGGGTCTCACTGTACAGCCCCGTCTGACTTTGAACTCCCAATGTAGCCTAGGCTGGCTTTGAACTCTTGATTCTTTCTCTAACTTCTCAAAGCTTGGCTTACAGCTGTGTGTCGCCAGTCACAGCCTTTGTAGTTATTTCTATTCTTTCAAAAGTTTACGTATTTGTTTATTCGTATGCGTATGAGTGTTTTGCCCACGTCGATGGATGTACAGCATGTGTAGACCTACCTGCTGCCCAAGGAGGTGAGGGAGAGGCGAGGTGAGTTAGCAGTAGTTGGAGGAACAGCGGGCGCTGCCATCAGCTGATGCATCTCTCCGGCCCTGCCATGTAAGGGAGCAGGGGAGCATCGCAGAAGCCTGGGCTGCATCCTCAGTGCCTGTCGCGATTCTGCTGCTTTTCTGCGGTCGCCAAGGGAGAGGTGGCCACTAAGCCAGCTAGTCCTAAACGCCTGATAACTGACAGTCTGAGCCTGAGAGCCAGAGAGGCCTTCCAGAGGAGGTGAACCTGAGTCGGCATTCTCCATAGTGATCCCAGGCTCCACAGAGGACTGTCATTTCCCTCTGGGAGCTGCTGTTGCACGACTTTTCCTGAGTACATACACAGATGTTTGTTCAGCCTAGGCAGGCAACTGAGAACAGGCCAAGTCTAGCGGGTAAAGCGATGCCTTACTGGGTCACTCATGGGAGCTGGAGTGAGGGTTCCTACGGGAAAATCTTACAAGCCTCACCGTGACTGGGAAACCACAGACGGGTGACACCTTGCGTGCCCGGAGCTCCCTGAACCTCCTGCTGACAGCAATCGTGACTGTATGAGTAACCTTGAGGAGGGACCTCACCTGCCTTCTGCCTTTCTGAGCTTCTAGAGCCTCCTGAATTTGGCTAGCTTCCTAAGGCCTATGACCCTGCCTTGGTTCAAGAGGGGCCTGTTTCCATTCCCGTTCATAGAAATTAACCACATGACACTTGGTACAAACATGCACTCTTGTACAAATTCAGAGTTCTGCATGGCAGGTGCAGTTCTTCTAGAAAGCCATAGAGATACTCTGCGGCCGCAGAGTGCAATGTACTCTGGCACCTAAATATTCCCACCGTGCCTTCCTGTAGACAGACGTCACCCCAGGACAGTACAGGCCACCCCGTACTGTTTAGGGAACAGAAGTTTTATTTTTGCTGTAGGTCAGCATCTCTTTGTAGCCCAGGTTGGCTTGGAGCTGTCTTTCTGTGTGAGCTCGATGTCTGCTAGGCTTACAGGTGTGTGCCACCATACCCAGCTCTGTTTAGTATAGGATGCAATAACCGGGGATCCGATCACAGAGACACATCGGCGATATTGTAAACTTTGGAGTCCAAGGATGGAGAGCTTATACGTGCACGGGGCACACTAAGCCTTAGAAGTCGTTGCTGGGCAGGGTCTGCCCAGTGTCCGATCGCCATAGTGGTTTAGTCAGAGTTGCGCTCCCAGCAGGGAGGTGTGAGGAGCCCATCTCTGTCTGCACAGCACTTTGTTAGACTTGGCTGGACCTCTCCGTTTCGTGAGTTTGATAGGTATATACAAATATATTTGTGTTATTTGTTTAGCTCTTTGGTTATTATTGTAGTATGTACTTGGTGTGGGGGATGGGATGTCACAGCCCACATGTGGAGGGCAGAAGACATCTGTGTGATGTCAGTCTTCCCCTTTACAGGGCTCCAGGGACTGTTGCCAGGCTGGAGTGGCAAGTCCTTTACCCACTGAGACATCTTAATGGCCTTTCTGTTTTATTTTGGTTGGGCTTTTTGTTTCTTTGTTTGTTTTTGAGACAGGGTTTCTCTGTATAGCCTTGGATGAACATTCTGGGACTCACTCTGTGGACCAGGCTGGCCTCAAACTCAGAGATCGGTCATCCTCTGCCTCCCAGGTGCTGGGATTCAGTGCGTGCACCACCACTGCCTAGCCCTTGTGTGTGCTTTTAAAAAGGACCTTTCTTAGGAGCTATTACACACATAGAGAGACATAACCAGAAGTTCAGTCTGCGGGGTCCACAGCACCACACTAAGAAGTGCTCCCTAGGTGCTCCCTAAGTGTGTTTGCTGCTTTTTTCCTGTGGTGAGTGTGGATGTACAAGACATGCTCTTGTGCCTGCCGATGGAGGCCAGAGAGTGTCTTCTGTCTTAGTCTATCACTCTAAACCTTATTGCCTTGAGACAGGTGCTCTCACTAAAGTAGAGGCTCTCCATTTTGGCTAGGCTGCTATCCAGAAAGCTCCAGGGATCTAGTTGTCTCTGTCTCCTAGTGCTGTGGTTACAGGCACAAGTGGCTGTGCGGTATTCATGGGTGCTGGGACTCGAACCTGAGGTTCTCCTGTTTGCAGAGGAAATGCTTTCACTCATAGAGCCTCTCCCAGATCCTCCCTGTGTTGTCCAATTGTGACTTGTGTGTCTGATGCCTTTACAGGCCAGAAGAGGGCAGCAGAGACCCTGGCACCAGCGCCTGTGGTTTATTTATTTATTTACGTATTTATTTGGTTTTTTTTTTTTTTTTTTTTTTTTTTTTTTTCGAGACAGGGTTTCTCTATGTGGTCCTGGCTGTCCTGGATCTCGCTCTGTGGACCAGGCTGGCCTCAAATTCAGAGACCTGTCATCCTCTGCCTCCCAAGTGCTGGGATTACAGGCATGCACCACCACCACCTGGCTACCTATGGTTTATTTTAAAATCAGCTTCTGATTGTTTTTCTCCTTTGTTTACTAACTTTGTTAATTGTTTATTTCATTGATGATTGCTCCTGTTTTTAATGTTCTTTCCCATGGGGGCCAGAAAGATTACTCAGCAGTTAAGAATGTGCACTGCTTGTGCAGAAGATGAAAGTTGGGTTCCCAGAGCCCCCGTGTCTGGCAGCTCACAACTGCCTGTAACTCTAGCTCCAGGGGACCTGACACCCCGGCATCCTGTGGACACCTGAGCTCACATGCTCACAGCCCTGACACATAATTTAAAAGATAATAACACTAAGTCTTTTTCTCTTTTTTTGAGACAGTGTCTCTCTTTGTGGTCCTGACTGGCCTGGGACTTGTTATGTAGACCTGGCTTGCCTTGAACTTACTGAGAATCTCCTGCCTCTGCCTCTGGACACCCAGCCTAACAGTGGTTGGAGTCAGGGCCTTGTCTGCACTAGGTGATGCTCTACACTGAGATGCACCCCAGCCCTTTTTACTTTGTGCCTATCTTTATTTTTAGTTTTTAAGATGCTTTTATTTTATTTTATGTGCATGAGTGCTTTGCCTGCATGTGTAACTGCGCATGCCTGATGCCCACAGAGGCCAGAAGAGGGTGGCAGAGTCTGTGGAGCTGGAATTCAGGTAGTTTGAGAGTCAAAATGTGGGTCCTCTGCTCTTAACCGCTGAGCCGCCTCTCCAGCCCCCCCCCTTAATCATTTATGTATGTATGTATTTATTTATTTTTCTGAGACAAGGTCTCATTATGTAGCCCTGCCTGCCCTGGAATTTACTATGTAAACTAGGCTGGCTTTGAAGCTGTGACCCTCCTGACTCAGGCTCTCTAAGACCCTGATAGGCCAGCAGTGCTGGGCCTGGCTTAGTCATGGAGATCCTAACACGAGGGGTGAGGTGAACTCTTCTGGAAAGGAGCTTTGGAAAGATTCTTTTGGAGCTCAAGTCTTGGTCATGTGGATAATCAGAGTTGAAAACTGTTAAAGCTAAGGCTACCTTACGGATACAGCCTATCGGAAGCGTGACATTTCCCCTTGTTTTGTTCATTTGTTCAGCACCTTTCTGCTCTGTGACCCTGAAGGTGCGGCCTTCTAATGTCATAGTGAGTCCTAGGGCAGCCAGGAAAGCAGACCCTGTCTCAAAAAATCAAAACACAGAGAGCGAATGGGTGGGGTCGGCCTCTGTACCACTGTCTACGTGTTTTAGTTCACACTCATTCGGCAGAAGAGGGCGCCAGATGCCCAGGGGCTGGAAGCTGCAGGCGGTTGTGAGCCTCTGGTGAGGGTGCTAGGAATCAAACGCGGGTCCTCTGGAGAGCAACAAGTATTCTTACGAGCTACTTCTCAACCCCTTTAACAGTTTTATTCTTATAAGATTAAAACCATTTCTCGGCTTACATTATTCACAATGAAATAGTAGTCTAAACATGTTAGCTGCCTTGTTAGCGGAATAGCATCCCATCTTAATTCCTAGGACACCATCAGCCTACACCCGCGCTCTCAGGGCTCTGGGCAGAGTCAAACCCATGCTTTCATACAGCACAACTTGAGACTGCCACACGCCTCAGTCTCAGGGGGCCACCATGCTCTCCGAAATGGAGAGCTTAGATATGTTTTTCCTTACTGGTCTCAGAAAAGATCATGAACACCAGGACCACAAAATCCCTAGCAAGTCTGTAGAAAATCCCTGCCCAGGGCTCCTTAGGGGGTGCACATTCTTCACATTCCTGAAAATGGACATCCTCCAGGTTTCCCTGCAGGCTCAAGATGCTGTAAGATGAGCAAGGAAAGGGCAGTGCCAAAGGGCCTGATGGTCTTCATTCACCCCTCCTCAGGAACAGGGAGAAGCTTATAATGCTGATCGCCCAGGGGGTCCTACCGCCTGAGGTGCAGCCCCCTGACCTGCATAAAAACCCGACGTCTACCTACAATTCCTGGCTCAACAGCCTCCTTCCACCCTTGAGGAGAGCGGTCCTCAGCAAGGTGCCTGAATGCAACATCCAAGAGCAGTTTCTGAAGGTCAGTGGGGATGGCCCGGGGCAAAGGAGATGCTGGAAAGCCTGCCCCACACCACAGAGAGTCTGCTTTCACTAGTCCGGGAAAGAAGTGTGACACATAACCCTAGTGATGTAGGAAATGCCGCTTACGAAGCATCTTCCACGGACTGGGACTGCAGGGGCAGGGTCCTGTCCGGTGTGCCCAGAGGTCTGCTCAGCTCTTCAGCTCAGAGCTTCAGGGAGCTTGCAGAGAAGGCAGAGAGAGCATTTTTCTGTCCTTGCAGATTAAGGAAAGCCCTCGATTTGTGTTTCTGGTCTTTACTGAATTCATCTCGATTGTTCCTGCATCTGCCTTCTGGACTGTCCTATTTTTCCTGTTGCTGCTGAGTCTGGGGTTGTGTACCGTGGTGGCGTTCATGCTGGGCATCATCACCCCACTCCAGGACACCTTCTCCTTCTTCAGGAGACAGCCAAGGGTTCTTACAGGTACTTCCACCGTGACCCTGCTCTCCCACAGCCTTCACAGCAGCCTTAGTCCCGTCATGGACCAGACCTCTGACCCTAATGCTTCCTTCAGTGGGTGCTTCCGTGGTGATGTTCCTGTGCAGCCTCTTCTTCATCCAAGCGTCAGGCATCTACCACTATTGGCTGCTGACTGAGTACTGGATCGCATTGCCCATCCTCAGCATCGTCATTTGTGAAAACCTTGCTGTAGCCTGGGCCTACAGGGCCAAGAGGTGAAGGCCCACGCCAGGCCCCCAGAGCATGGATGTTGTGGGAGGGTTGACAGATTTCCTGTTGTTTCTAATATCAAACTAGAGTGACACAAGAACCCTTACCTTCAAGGCCTCTGAGAAATGTTTGTTTATCATACTTTTGTATGTTTTATGTGCTTGCTTCAGGCCTTATGGCTTGTTAGTGACCAGGGACACGGCATAAACCAAAGTTAGTACCCTGTGTTCCAGAGCTTACATTCTAGTGGTATAGCCAGACGGCGGCAGCACCGACAGACACGAAGACCACAAATGACACGTGAGGCTGGTAAAGACCTTGCTGTGCAAGCACGCACGTCTGAGTTCTCTTCCTAGAACCCACAGCAATGGCCATGGTGGCACACATTCCAGTCCTGGGAGGTGAAGTGACAGGACCCTAGGACCTTGGCAGCCCGACAGTAGAGCTTCAAGTTCAGTGAGAGACCTTGCCTCAGAAAAATAAGGTGCGGGGTGGCAGAGGGAGCTGCCTGACATCATGTTCTGGCTCCTGTGTTCATGTACGTGCACACACAGAGCGGAAGCCAAGAAGAAACCAAAGGCCCCATTGCTTTAGAGTAGGTGTGTGTGGTTCCGACAGGGCAGTAAGGAAGGTCTTTCTGGAAGGGTGATGTGTCAGAAGACTCCTCATGATCTATGTGTATGTGGTGTGTATGTACGTGTGTGTGTGTGTGTGTGTGTGTGTAAGTGTCCATGCATGTGTGTATGCCAGAGGAAACGAAGGAACAAGGAACACAGTAGGGGAATTGGAATAGGGTTAGGGGATTTGGGGCCAGAAGATGGGACCTCGTAAGTACCACACAACACTGAATGGCTTTGAGTAGGGAGCACCATTGTCTGATAAAAAAAGCAAATTAGAGACAAGCTCTCACTATATTTTGCTGACTGTCTTAGAATTTGCTGGCCATCTACCTCAGCCTCCAAGGGCTAGGACTAAAGGCGTGTACCACCAAAGGTATTTATTTTATGAAGGCACCTCTGGTGGCCTTGTGGAGGGAAAGCAAGGAGAGCCAAGGAGGAGAATTGGGAGCTGTTTAAGATTCCAAGCCAGAGCCAGTAGTGACTTGTGCTAGGGCGATAGAGTTGTGCTCTGAAAAGCCAGGTGTGGCTGCACTCGGGAGGCAGAGGCAGGCGAGTCTGCAGGAATCCAAGGCCAGTCTGATGTACAGAGAGAGAGACCTTATCTCCAAAAAGAAGTAACTAATAGGGCACACAGGTGGCTCTGATCGAAGGCAGAAGGTGCCAGAAGTGGCTTTTGCAAATGGTCCTTGGAGCCTGTGCCCTCCCTCACTAACTCTTCTACTATCTCATTTTAAATTATTTGATGTGTATTAATGTTTTACCTTACGTAAGTATGTGTGGCACATGTGTGCCTGGTACTCATGGAGGCCAGAGGAGAGGCATCAGACCCTCTGCAACAGGAGTTACAGACAGATGCCTGTGACCTGCCTCGTGGGTGCTTGGAACCAAACCTGGATCCTCAGAAAAAGCAGCAAGTGCTCCTAACTGAACCATCTCTCCAGCCCCGTGTGTTTTTTTTTTTACTTTTATCGTGTGTGGGCCAGTGTGTGTGTGTGTGGGCATGGGTGTGACATTTGTGGAGGTTTAGTTTTTGACGTCTACCATGTGGGTCCCAGGGATTGAACTCAGGCCTGGCAGCAGGTGCCTTTACGTCCTGAGCCATCTTGCTGGCTGAGACTCAAGTGTGGGTGGGTAGGTTTTTCTGTGCCTGTACATGTGAGCACGTGTGTCACGTGTTTTTCTCACTCCATCTCCACTTACTTTTTGAGACAGGCTTTCTTCTTGAACCTGGAGCTCACTGATTTGGCTAAACTGCCTGGCTAGCAAGCCTCTAAGGTCCTCTTGTCCCCACAGTGGCGTGTGGCTGGAACCCCAGCCACACGCCACTGTGCCTGGCTTTTATGTGTACCTTGGTGCCATCTTCCCCATGGCAGGGCACCGGGCACGAATTCATCATACGGAGCTCGTCTGTAGGAGGAGAGTATGCGCACACAGCTCCGTGTGTGCCCCAAGTCCACAGTGGAAGTAAGGGGAGGAAGTAAGGGGAGAGCTGTGGGTGAGGATGGAAATTCAGAGGCAGGAAAGATGCTCGGAAGCAGGGCTGGCACCCTAGGTCAAGGGCCTCGCTGGTGTGTGCACAAATTGAGAGCATGTGGCTTGAAGAAAGCAGGGCTGAGCTCCTGCGGGCTGAGAGGCGTCTGGGTTCTGTGTGCTTGGCTTAGGTGGCTTCCTGTTGGGTACCTAGCACCTAGAAGGGTCTTTGCCACGTCACAGATGTCCTTCCAGGATGAATGAGATGGGAGGCTTGGGGTACGGGGGGCTAGGAGACAGACTATGTGAGGTGAACTGAGGTAGAGCAGGCCATAAAGAGGGTTGGGAGGTAGGGGAAGGCTAGACTGGCTGCCCGTGTTTGACCCCACAGGTTCCTCAAGGACATGACGGCTCTGCTGAGCCACCCCATCTGCCCCATCTGCTGCTGGCTGTGGTGCTATGTGTCCCCAGTGGCGTTGCTCACCCTGCTAGTGGCAGTGATCGTTCAGCTCATCACAAAGCCCCTCACCTATATTGCCTGGGACTCGAACACTGTGAGTGCACCCTCTCTCAGAACCTGGGGTTCCTTCTGCTCCCTTCAGCCCATGGCTGAGGACCTGGCCCTTGGCTCTGACCACAGAAGACTGACTAGCCTTCACCTCCCCCTCCCCCTCCCCCTCTCTCTCCCTACACTTCTTTTCCGTGTTAGACAGACACACGCACACGCACACGCACCCTCTTCTCCTGGGAACTTTGCTGTGTTAACCCCTTTTCTCCCATCTCCCCATAGTCAAAAGAGATGGTTCGTCATTACCCAATGTGGGCCTTGGCCCTGATAGCCGGGCTGTATGTGTTCATCATCATCCCCATCCCTGCTTACTTTGCGTACCGCCTCAACCTGGGGATGCCCATCAGGCCTCCAGTATGCCCTAAAATGTCATGCAGAAGTGCCCAGACACTGAGTGAGAAAGGGGCCTCAAAGGACACTGTGCAGACCTACAAAACAAAGTCCTTATCAGCCTGATGGCAGAGCGGCTAACTTCCCTCATCGGGCCAGACACCTTGCATCTTTCACAGCAGACTCAAGAGGCAGCTCTCAACAGCAGCTTGAAGCTATTGCCTGCTGGATGCCCAGGGAAGGGAGGAGCCTTGGAGCCTCTGGCTTTGCAGTCCCTTCCTGGCTGGGCTCTTCCATCGCCACTGGCTCAGTGTGGGCATGCTCACTGCACTCCAGGCGCTGCCAGGGGCCCTGCCTCCTGCCTGTGGGTCTCACGCAGGGGTAAGGGGAGTGCAGTGCCAATAAACCAATCACTGTAGCTCCAGACTCTGAGTGTGTGTTTGGTTTTTGTTGTTGTTGTTGTTTGTTTCTGTAAATGTCTCAAGTAGTTGGCCTTTTCCCCAATGATACCATTTCCCCCTAGAGCCACATATGAAGCTGAGTTCCCATTCCTTGCCCTGCAAATTCAGATGCTAGATCAACCCCAAACCTTGTCTAGATCCTGCTCCTCAGCCAAGAGGTCCTGAAAATTGCTTTAACAAAATGAGAAGGATAGCATCATACTTGCTGCTAAGAAGAGTAATCCCACCCCAGGCTACAGAGTCTTAAAATTCATCTGCGTGTCTGTGTGTGCATGTGTGTGTGTGCACATGCACACCGCAGCATGCATGTGGACGTCAGAGGACAACTTGCAGGACTCAGGTCATCAGGTGTAGACTGAGCCATTAGAACCGGCTCTAAAAGTCACCTTTGAAGTTTGATGTGTACTATAGACTACGTGCCTGTGTACATCTGCATGCAACCAGGTTGAGGTCCGGCAGAGTCATGTGGCTGCAAAACAGGGGCCTCCAGCTACCTGAAAATAGACATTGCTGCCCAGCTAGGACAGGCCAGGTGGCTCCAGAACTGAGCAGATAATTACTTTCCAGGTGACCAGAGACTGGAGAGGTTCTGGATAGCTATGGCTGCATTCTCAGAGAGCCCGAGAATGGGTCTTCTCCAAATGTGCAAGAGCAGGGGACTTGGGGGCCCTAGCTTACACGTGCCCTGTGTTTCTGAAGATGGGAGACTTCAAGGGCCTCTGTGGAGGGCTCAAGGGATGGAGTGGTCCCTCCCTGCCAGCTCCAAATGAAGGCAGGGTGTTCTATCTGACTCCTCCCTCTGCCTCAGCCCAGGTCCAGCCCTTGGGGTGCAATCATGGGGGCAGGGTTACAAAGCAGGGCATGAGGGCTTGGAGAGGCCAGTGGGGTGTAGTAAAGACCTTGCTGATCCCTCACACTGAAGCTTTCTCCCCTGGACCCACTTGTTTATGGTCCCTGGGCACGGGGATACGTCCCAGACCGCTGTAGTGGGTGTGTTTGAGCCACAGGAAAGCCAAGTTCTGTCCTAGGTCCCTAGGTAACTCTGGGGTCCTTTTTGTCTCCAGCCAGTTTCCTAGCGCCCATAGGTGTGACTGAGCCTTCCCTTTGCTGCTAGGAACCTCTCACACAGATGCCTTCCGTCCCCTCACAGTGGTGTTAGGTCACAAGAGACCCCTAACGGCCTCTGGCTTCATTGGTTGTCATTCTGGTGTCTCTGAGCACATTTGAAGGCGAGCACGAGGGGTCATCTGTGCTCATGCTTGTCCCTCCCAGGGGAGCCCAACTTGGTCATTTTAGCTATAGATACATCCAGAGCCTCTTAACAGTTAACAAAAGTAATATTATGTACCAAAACAAATAGCACTTAATGTCAGAAAATATCTACACACAAGATTTTCCTAGTCTGAGATTTTTTTTTTTTTTTTTTTTTTTTTTTTGGTAGCTTTGTGAGTACTGTAGTAATTTAGCAGCAGGTGACCTTGGCAAGTGAGAGCCAAGGGTTACCACAAAGTCACACTATACAACACAGCCCACCGGGAGGTTTATTGGAGGAGGGAGGCGCTGAGGGAGAGCAGAAGGGGGCGGGGACAGAAGGGAGAGGCTGTACTCAGTGGCTGCAGGAGCTACAGTGTCTTGGCCGCTGGTGATGATGTGAGAGCAGGCTCCACGTAAATGCCTGAATGCTAACAGGTGCGCATGGGTGGGTATGCGTGTATGTGGGGATCATGCGTGGGGATGTGCATGCGTGGGGATGTGTGGGTGTGTGTATGTGTGGGTGTGTATATGGGTGGGTAAGTATATGTGTGACATGTGTAGTGTGGGTATGTGCATATGTGGGTTTGTATATGTGTGGGTATGTGCATGTGTGTGTGTAAGTGTGTGTATGTGTGGGTGTGTGTGGGTGTGTGTATGTGTGTGTATGTGTGGGTGTGTATGTGTGGGGGGGTGTATGTGTGTGTGGGTGTGTGTGTGTATGTGTGTGTATGTGTGGGTGTGTGGGGGTGTGTGTATGTGTGGGTGTGTGTGGGTGTGTGTGTATGTGTGTGTATGTGTGGGTGTGGGTGTGTATGTGGGGGGGTGTATGTGTGTGTATGTGTGGGTGTGTGTAAGTGTGTGTATGTGTGGGTGTGTGTATGTGTGTGTGTGGGTGGGTGTGTGTATGTGTGTGTATGTGTGTGTGTATTTGGGTGTATGTATGTGTGGGTGTGTGGGGGTGTGTGTAAGTGTGGGTGTGTGTATGCTGAGTTCCTTGTGTGGGAGTCAGGTTTGCCTTCCACCATAGTGGTGCTGGGCGTGGCACTGTGGTCCAGGGCTTGTCTGGCATACACAAAGCCTTGGATCCCACCCCCAGTGCTACCAAAGAAGAAAGGAGGAGATGGGAGATTGACAAGATTTGGGTCAGCAAAAGGGTTCTGTGGGTGAAGGTGCTTGTTGCCGAGCCTGGAGGTCTGCATCCAATCCCAGGAGCCAAATGCCCCTTTTGCTTTCTGAGGCAGGGTCTAAAATAAGTTGTTCCTGCTAACCCTGAACTCACTCTGTTGCTCATGCTGGCTTTCAATTTGCAATGCCCTTGCTTCAGCCTCCTAAGTAGCTAGAATGACCGCCCTGGCAATCTGTTGCATTTCTTAGGAGTTGGTAGTTAACTCCACAAGCTGATTGATTTTACATTTAACTTTTAAAAATGGTTGTGAGCACATATCGGTCACAGGTTCTGCCGGGGCTCAGGACAGTCCCACACATGTCTGCCAGGCACTTTATTCACCCTCTGTCCCTCTCTTGTCCCCCCCCCCCCACTGTCCCCTTCCCCTTCCCAAGGAGGCCGCCTTCCACTGTGGTGTCTTTTTATTTCTTAGAGACCTGAAGAGTTAAATTCGGGTGGCTTTTAGGAGCAGGGTGGGGCTGAAAGGCTGGTGGGCTCCTTGTCAGCGCCTCTACCACTGGGGAAAATCTCTCTCTTTCTCTCTGTCTCTGGCAGCAAGCGTTAACTGTCCAGAAGACCTGAGCTAGAGGCACGCAGGGCGTCGGTGGGCCCAACAGTGGGCAGGGGGTCTGCAGGCGACTGCAGCTGCCGTGACCTAAGAATGCATAACACGCCACAGCAGCCCTCTCCATGGGCAAATGAGATTTTCGAATTCATCCAGGGTGTGAACGCTTGCCCCTGCCCTTCTTTTGTCGCCTGTGTCTGCCCTCTTCAAGCACACACGCACAGACAGTATAAATAGCCTTCACACTTAAGCTACAAAGAACTCACAGAGAAGCCCTTCTGCAGCTTCAGGAGACGCAGAAGGAGGCAGGGGACATGACTTCAGCCGGCACGGGCACCGCAACCTGACTTTCCTGGGCCAGATGGCCGAAGCAAAGCGCTGACCCAGCAAGCTGTGTTCACACACACACACACACACACACACACACACACACACAGTTTTCTTTTTGTTGAGAGACCGGGCTTCTCTGTGTAACAAACAGCACTGGCTGTCCTCAATCTCACAGAGATCCGCCTGCCTCTGCCTCCCGAGTGCTGGGATTAAAGATGGCGCCACCACACCCTGCTCATACACACAGATGTTTAAGGTTCTTTGTGTCACTGTAGCAGATGATGCTGGAGGTTGGTGGAGGGACCCTCACTTTGAGCAGCATGTTAACCGGCCTGAGAAGTCTGAGTAGAGCTCCTCTCTCAGCCCATCTGGCTCTATGCCCCTCTGGGGATAAATCTGTATCCATCTTCTGAATCTTAACCTCCAGACCCTTGGCTACCCTTTAAACAGCTCTTTTGCCAGCACAGCTACTAGGGGGAGGGGGGAGTCATCTAGAATTTCATGAGATGTCCTTAAAACTCTAAATTTGGAGACTCTGCATTTTAAAAAAAATTCTCTCACATTTCTTCAAGTAGGTTCAAAAATAGTATTGGGCCTATATTTTCCTCTTTGTTTCTAGCTCTTTAACATACTTAATCTTTTCTCTCTCCCTCCCTCCCTCCCTCCCTCCCTCCCTCCCTCCCTCCCTCCCTCCCTCCTTCCTAGCCCTGGAACTTCCAGAGCTCCACCTCTCAGGTCCTGGGATAATAGGTCAATGCCCGGTCCCCCACTTGGCATTTTTCCTGGCGCCCTTTGCCCCTTCCTGAGTTATGTGTGCAATCTGACTGGCAACTGATGACCTCTCTCAACCTGCTCAAAGCCAAATCTCCGAGGCAGCCAGTGACTTCTCTAGGCGACCTAACAGCCCACTCGGGCAGAAGCAACCCAGCATCACGTGGCCCCTCTCGGTGGAATCTTCTGGGCCGCAGGGGAGGCACGGGCCAGCTCGCCCGACAGAGAAGGAGGTAACCGCTCTCCGCGCGGTCCCCGGGCAGCGACGCCGCAGGACTCCCGCCCGCCCCTCGCGCGCTGAGGCCGGTAGGGACCGCTGCGTCTTGCGCGCAGCGTCGCCGCCCACTCGGGAGCCTGGCCGCGGCGAGTCGGTCTTCCCGTCCCGGCCGCCCGGGAAGCCGAAGGCACACTGCAGGCGGGACACCCGCAGACCGTACCGGCAGGTTTCTCTAGTGACCCTGGGCAGTGAGCATCCTTAAAAGCCACGTTTTCGGTTTGGGTGTGCAGGCACACTCCTTAATCCCAACCCTGTGTTTGCAGAGGCGAGGGGGTTTCTGAGTTCCGGGCCAGCTTGATCTACATAGGAAGTTCCAGGACAGCCAGAGCTACACAGTGACCCACTCCCTTTCATCCCAGCATTCGGGAAGCTGAAGCAGGCAGATTGCTGGGAGTTGGAGGCCCACCTAGTCTACATAGCAAGTTGTGGGACAGCCAGAACTACCTAGAGAGATCCTGTCTCATGAAACAATAATAATAATAATTATAAATATGGCATAGGAAAATACTCATGACATAATAGAAGAAAATGGTACAATTTATGAGAAATTCATATGTATATAGAGATAATATTAATACATAGGTTGTGCCCTGTGTATAATAATATCCACATGTAATATACTATAACAGAAGTTTCCCCGTTCAAAGTGTTACAAATTAAAAGGTCATGAGATATAACTTAGTAAGTTTAACTGTGTCCCCTTCAAACGTAAAAGGAGCAAACATTTAACAACAAGGATTTGTCAGTGGACTTTTTGTTTTATACTCTTGAGATAAAGTCTCATTGTGTAGCTCAAGCTGGCCTGCAACTCTTGATCCCTTGCTGGACCTCTCCTCCAAAGAGGATGCTGGCCATCCTCTGCCTACGACGGAAGAGGCCCAAAGGCACTTCCTAGTGGTAAAAAGGCCTGGGGGCTGCAACCCCAGTACCAGCACAAAACAAATGCATATTTAGCATGCATGCAAATTAGGACTGCTGTCACTCTGGCATTGGAAAGAGTATTATTGTATGAAGTACTGGCTAGAGGGCTTACTGTGGGGGTATAAGGACCTGAGTTTAGTGCCCACCACCACATAAGAGCCTGGTGTGGAAGCAAGGGGCAGGTAGAGGCAGGTGTTCACATACTAGCCAGTTTAGCTGAATATGAGCACTAGGTTCAGTGCTAGTCTTATCTGAAAAAGTAAGATGGAGTGTGATGGAGGAAAACATCTGGTGTGGAACTCTGATCTCCACATACATGCACACACACACACACACACACACACACACACACACACACGAACATACACTCACAAAAGAGAAAAAAACAACAGGTATTTTCACTATTAAAACTTTTATTGCCAGGAGGTGGTGGCACACGCCTTTAATCCCAGCACTTGAGAGGCAGAGACAAGCAGATCTCTGTTTGAGGCTAGCCTGGTCTATAGAGTGAGTTCCAAGACAGCCAGAGAAACCCTGTCTCAAGCACACACACACAAAATAATAAATAAACAACCCCACCCCACAACGTAGCTCAAAAGGAACACCTTCTGCCTTTCTCTGGTCTCTCTGGACACTGGTTCTACCCTAAAGTCTGCTCTTTTTTGGTAACCTCAAGACCCCTTAGGAGTTGAGCCAGTGAGGAAAACCCCATGGACCAACCTCCTAAAGCAGCTCTCAAGGTTAAGAAGGAAGAGCCTGCGGAAGAAGAGCCCACATCTAGCAAGAAGAGCAACAATCCTACATCCCTATCCTGGGGCTTCAAGACCAGAGAGGTCCGGGTCACCAAGATCCCGAACCATTTCCAGGTGAAGAAGACAGAGAATATCCTGATCCTGGTGGCCTTCTCCATCGGGCTGGGCAGCATGTGGCGCTTCCCCTACCTGTGTCACAAGAATGGAGGAGGTGAGGCCAGGCTGCGTGCCAGGTTAAGGGAGGGGCGTCAGACCCCCAGGGAGGGAGGAGGGGTGAGCGGCTGGCTCCCAGCTGCCTGAGCCAGACCCTGCCCTCCGCAGGCAGCTTTTTGCTGATGTACCTCATCCTGCTGCTGCTTCTGGGAATCCCTCTTTTGTACATGGAGATGATCATAGGACAGTGGCTGCGCATGGACAGCATCCGGGCCTGGAAGCAGCTGGTCCCCTGGCTAAGCGGTTTGGGCTACTCCAGCATACTGGTAGGTGGGGGCTGGCAGGCACATGAGCCCCTGGTCCCCTGCCTCCTCCATGTCACCCCTCAGGGCCACCTTGCCCTCCACAGGCTTGTGTCTTGGTGAGCTTGTACAACAGCGCCCTGATCTCCTGGAGCCTCTTCTACCTGGGTCAGTCCTTTGATTACCCTCCGCCCTGGGAGCACTGCCCCATGTTGGAAAACATCAGTGTGACAGGTGATGGGGACAGGCGGGGCTCTGGGCTAAGGCGGGGCTGCATGTGAGCGGTCCCTCAGTATCTGGACCTTTCCGCCCCTCCCCAGAGGCCCCCTGCCTAAGGACGGTGCCTCACCAGTATTTCTGGTATCACAACACCCTGCGAGCCTCCAAGCAAATAGAGGAGGGGATTGAAGTGCTGGTCGTGAACGCCGCCCTGTGCCTCTTTGCCACCTGGGTCATCCTCTACATCATCATGACCATCAGGATAAAGATTTCCGTGCTAGTGAGTGCCCCGGGGCCACCCCTGCTGAGCCCCAGAGCCACCAGTGTCCCCAGCAAGGGTCCACCTCCGAGTCCCTGGGCTCAGACGGACGGATGTGTGGTGCTAATCTGCAGAGCTGTTTTCCTTTCCAGTCTGTGTGTATGGGGGTCTGTGGCTGCCTCCATCACCACGTTCCGGAGACCCTCACACACCCCTGGAGGCCCAGCACGCTAACTCCTGACATCATTCCTGCACTCACAGACTTCACTAGAACTAGCTGGCCCAGGGTGAACGGGTCTGTCTGCTCGTCACCACCATGACCTGACAAGAAGCAAATTCCCCGAGGAAGGATTTATTTTGGCTCGTGGTTTGAGGGGTACTGTGGATGGGATGTCACAGCAACATGTGTTCCCCTGGTACGGAAAACATGGCGGGGACTGTGCACATCCTAAGGTCTCCACAGAACAGGGGGTGGCGTAGGCTGCATGCCCTGTCGTGTGGCTTTCTCCTCGTCTCTCTCACTCCATCCAAGGTAGGTCTTTCCTGATGAGCTAACCCTCACTAACACAGAGGCATGCCTCCACCTCTTGGGTGAGTGTAAGTCCAGTCAGGTTGACAGTGAGGATTAGTCCTCACAGGCTGAGGAGAAAGAAGCAGGGGCAGGCAGAGGCAAGCTCCAACTCTCTTGAGTTCGAGGCCAGCCTGGTCTACAGAGCAAGTTCCAGGACAGCCAGGACTGCACAGAGAAACCCTGCTTCATAAAACTAAGACACAGGAGCATGAGGGTCTGAGTTGGGTCGCCAGCACCCACGTAAACAAACAGGCACTCTTGTAGCTCGAGCACTGGGGCGGTGGAGATGTCCTGGGGACATCCCAGGAGTTTGTCTATTCAGTGAGCTCCAGGGCAGCGAGACCTTGTCTCAGAAAACAAGGTGGACAGCAAGAAGGGATGGAGCTGGCGGCCCGGGACGATGGAAGGACTTGCGGGTAAAGGGGGAGAGGAGACTGGAAGCGATTGTATGTGATTTGGGAGCATGGGTGGTGGTGCTGCGCAGGTGCTGGGAGGCTCCTGTCATCGCCGTCCGTGTGTGCAGGTGGGTATGCACAAGCTTGGGAGTCATCCCGTAAGCACTGCCCACCGCGTCCATCTCCCACTGACCCATTCGCCTCCGGGCCCCTGGGCCTCCCCGTTTCTATCAGGGCCTGCCAGCCCTCTAATGTTTTCTCTCCTCCCTGCTTCTCTTGACCGACCCGGCCAGATGCTGATTTTCTCCATATTCTTCCCCTGCATCCTCCTCCTCTGCTTCTTCATCCGCTGTCTCTTCCTGCAAGGTGCTATGGCTAGCCTCAGGCGCCTGGTGACCACAGATGTGAGTCCTTCCCTACCTCACCTCCCCGGGCCTCCGTGGTTCACCCCTCACTCCCTCTGCCCAGCCTTCACCCCTCTGCTCGCCTCAGCTCCACCAGCTCACTGGTGACCACGCCTGAGAAGCCTCACTCTTCCACAGCTCTCCTTCCTGTCATCACTGGAAACGTGGCGTCAGGCCGGAGGCCATGTTCTCTACTCCCTTGGCCTTGGCATGGGCACCATCATCACGTTCTCTTCCTACCAGACTAGAGGCGACAACTACATCAAGTTGGCATCCTTCATGGCCATGGTCAACCTGATGACTTCACTATTGAGCACGGCCATCATCTTCCTGGTGCTGGGGTTCTGGACAACAACCAGCGGGTCCAGCTGTGTTGAGAAGTGAGTGACGGGCGTGACTGATGATGAGTAGCAGAGCCATCCCACCTCGGCTGTCCTCAAGCACCGGTCCTCTAGGTCAGACCTTTCCGTTGGAGCCCACGTCACCTTATCCTCAGAGTCAACAACCAAACAGAGGGGGCCACACTGCCACAGCTGCCAGGGTTACTGTATACTCATAGACCCAACTACTAAGACGGGGATTGTGAGGGCCAGTGCACAGGGGAAGCTACCGGAAGCCTTGTGCTCTGCCGGTGGTGACAAGTACTTGTCAAAGTGAGATCGCCTGCACTGGGACTCCAGACACGTGCGTCACAACTTAGCTCACAGTGACCCAAATGGTGACTGACCATTGTGTCCCCATAGGTAAATGTGTAATTGCCATCTGAGACCCTATCATACACAATTTCATAAAAAAATGACCGTAGCCGTCCAGCTAATGGACTCGTGGGCAGTGAAGCGGCGTTGGCGACTGCTGTGTTTCGGTGGCTTCGTATGTTAGACACTGTCTCAGTTAGGGTTTCTGTGGCTGTGAGGAGGTACCATGACCACAGCAACTCTTGTAAAGAAAACGTTTAATTGGGGTGGCGGCTCACAGTTCCAGAGGTTCAGTCCATCATGGCAGTGTGCAGGCAGACGTGCTGGAGCCCAGAGCTACATCTTGACCAGAGGCGGCAGGAAGCACACTGATGGGCACACTTAGGGAAGCTTGAGAAAAGAGACCTCAAAGCCCGCCCCCACGGTGACACACTTCCTGTAACAAGCCACACCTCCTAACAGTGCCTCTCCCTATGAGTTTGGGGAGGCCACTCACATTCAGACTAACACTGTACTCCCCCAGCTGTATTTGGGCGTGGATGTGTGTGAGTGCCGTTTACAATTAGGATGGAATTCTGATACAACGCGGTTTTATAAGGAAAGGAAGTGATCCCAGCGGTGGGAGCACACGCCTTCAATCCCAGCACTTAGGAGGTGGAGGCAGGAGGATCTCTGTGAGTTCAAGGCCAGCCTAGCCAGCATCGGGCCGGCCATGGCTGCATCCTGAGACTCTGTGTACTTGTCTGCGCCTGTGTGAGTGTATGTGCACCGCCTGCATGCAGGAGCCCAGGGAAGCCAGGGAAGGGCACTGGGGGCCCCTGGAGCTGGGAACAAAGCTCAGCCCTTGGCAAGAGCAGCGAGGGCTCTGAACCGCGGAGCCGTTGTTTTGTTTCTTTTCATGTTTTTTAAGTTAAAGAAAAAAAAAAAGCAGACAGTGGTGAAATCCCAGCAGATCTGTGAGTACCAGGACAGCCAGGGCTATACAAAGAGACACTGCCTCAAAACAAAGCAACAAGAGCAACAAAAACACCCGCGCGCACACACGCACACACACACACACACGTGCACACACACACACGTGCACACACACACACACCCGCACATGCACACGCGCACACACGCGCCCACACGCACGCGCAGACACACGCACACCAGATGGGCCCCCCAATCATGGACTTCCAGAGCGGGGATAGCATACACCTTGGACAATCCCACCATACTGGGCCCTCATTCTCCTTGGTGGGTGATGGCTGAGCTGCCAGTCTGTTCTCTCCCTACCCTGTCAGGACTGTCTCCAATCTGGTCAAGCTGATAACCAAAGGTGTGCTGCCGCAGGCTGTATGGCCTCCCCAAGACATCATCCACAAACATCCAATGGAGTACCTGCACTGGGTCAGCCAGCTCCCCAGGAACCTCCAGGAGGAGGTGGTCCATTTCTCCTTGCCCTGCAGCATCCTGGTGCAGAAGGAAAAGGTGTGTTTGTCCAGGAGGTTGGCCTGGCAGTCACATCTGTGTGCCACAGCTTGTAGTTCCCCTCAGGGGACCCAGAAAAAGGAGGTCACCCAGGCCACACAGCCAAGGGTCAACTTTCAACACTGTTACCTCCAGTTTCCATACTGAGTGCCTGTGTTACCCGTAACAGACATTAGTAATCAAGTACCCACCCATCCAGATGCTGCACTGCCTTAGAGCCCTTCTCCCCCACAGTTCATGGAGGGCCCTGGCCTGGCATATGTGGCCTTCTCTCAAGCCGTCTCATTGTTTCCTGGTTCCTCTTTCTGGGCCATCATCTTTTTCACGGCTCTGGTCGTCACGGGTCTGGGCACCATGATAACGCTCCTGGAGGGCATCGTGCTTCCGCTGCAGAGCAGTGTCCCTACCTCCACCAAGCATCCAAAGCTGATACCAGGTACAAAGCCCTGCAACCTTCCCCATACTTGCCTCACCCCAAGCATCCAGGGTTCACATGAACCCCCAACTTACAGACCCCAATGCAGCCCCATCCACCTCCACCTCTAGTGATCGTCTGCTTGGGAGGACTTCTGGGCAGCCTCGTCTTCACCAGCCGCTCTGGCAGCTATGTGGTGTTCCTGTTTGATGACCACCTGGTCCCTATGGTCCTCGTCATCATCGTGGTGTTCCAGAACCTTTCTCTGGCTTGGGTCTATGGAGTCAAGAGGTGATTTCCGATCCCTGGAGGGGGGGGGTTGCTGAGCTATCGAGTCCATCCTAGGCCTTCGGGGACACAGGCACACCATGGGGGTCAGCGTCCTGAGAGGGCAAGCAGATCCTATGGAAAGACGCAGCCTTTCCTGCGTCTGTCCTGAAGGCCGAGGGCTGGGGCACTGAAGATTCCCATGGGATAACAAAACATGGCCTGGTCCCCCACAGCAAGCATCAGGGATTTCTGAGAGAGCCCGAGATCCAAGGTGTCCCTGTGCCCAGGCCCTCACGTCCTACTCTCCTTCATCCAGGTTCAGGGCCGAGATGTTCGGCCAGCTGGGCCGCCTAGTGTGGGCCCCCTTCACCTTCCTGTGGAGCTACGTGACACTGCCCACGCTGCTGGCTCTGCTCACCATCTACTTCCTGAATCTCTACCACAGGGAGTCCCTCTACTATATCTCCTGGAATGGCAGTATGGTGCGGCCCTGCCCATGGGAATGTGGGCCCATCACCCTACCCCGTGCCTCCTACCCTCCGGCACCGGAGACCCCAAAGCCCCCTTCCCCGTCCCGCGTCTCCGACCCCCGGGGACCTGGGGGCACTGCACCCAGACTGAGCCCTGCCCCCGTGGCCCACTCCCGTGTCCCCAGAGCCAGGAAGTGAAGCAGCCGTACCAGAAGATCGTGCTGGGCTGGGTGACCTTCCTCAGTGCCCTGGCGCTGCTCCCCATGCTCGTGTACCCGCTACAGCACTGGTGGCAGCTCGACAACCAAATCATCTGTGAGATCGTGGAGAAGTCTTCATCCTCCAAAAAGGCAGAAACGAGACCCAACAAGGGCAACCAGTGGCCTGCACACCCCCTGAGAAGGTTCACCCTCAGGGTCCAGGACAAAGGCCAGGCTCTGCTCCCAGGCAAGGGCCCCACAGAGGGCTACTTCCTTCATCCCCAGACCACGCTGGCGAACAAGGACAGTGAAAACTACACCAACTTCTCCCTTCAGGGTGGTTCCCTCACGTATCCCTGAGGAGCCTAAGTCCCCCACGGCGACAGAAGCGACAGGCGTGAGGCTTCCCGCTCGGTAACTGCTGATGAGCCCCACCGAAAGCAGAAGACAGGGACGAAGAAACCCAGCCCAAACCTGTGCGAGCTCAGGAGCCCACCTTCCAGCAGCCTGGTCTGTGCCCAGGGCAGGCCCACAGCCCCCTGACTCTCTGTGATATGGACACAGTTTTGGTGTGCCCAGATGGGCATCCAGCACAGCCCCAGTTACGAGAGACATAGAGCTCCCTCTGGCCCGGCTGCGCCTGCCTTCCTACCTGTCAGCCGTGTGGCTGACCCCCCCCCCCAGGGACGATGCTGTCAGATGGTGCCAAGATAGCAATGTTGTCTGTCAATAAATGAGGTGATAGATATACATACCAGCCCGGCCAGCATGGACACAGTGTTCTCTCATACACATGCACACATGCACTTCCCACAGTAGCTTGGGGACCCGGACCCCCTTGAGGGAGCTACAGAAGCTTCCAGGTCTAACCTGGTATTGACCACCGTGCTGACCCCCAGGACTGAGTCTGGCCACCAGTTCCTGTCACTAAGAACCATCCCTGGCATTATGTCCTCCTGTGAGTCCCTGACAGGAGTAGAGCCCAGTGCTCAGCAGCTTCTGGGTCATACCGTTCCCTAGCAACCAAAGGCTCTGGTCCCATCTCTATCCCCAGGTCTCTGGATGTCCCTTATCATCACACTCCCATCTGTGAGGATTTTCTAAGGAAACATCCCCATGTGCACTAAAAGACCCATACCATAAACACACTTTTGCCTTTATTTTTTAATTTTGTTCATTCATTCATTCATTTATTGGTTTTTTGAGACAGGGTTTCTTTGCCTAGCTTTGGAGCCTGTCCTGGCACTCACTCTGTGGACCAGGCTGGCCTGCCTCTCTCCCAGTGCTGGTATTAAAGGCACGCGCCACCACCGCCGCCAGGCAATTTTTATTTTCTTACTGAGCTAAAATAGTGGAAAACAAGACACCCCGAATTTCTCCTTTTTTTTTTTTTTTTTTGAAAGATGGATGAGTGTTTAGTTCACACCTGCATCACAGAAATGAACCACGTGTGCACTTAGTTCCCTCAGGAAGCGAGACCCTGGAGCTGGAGTTGGGGGTTTGTGAGCCTCCAGTGTATGCTGGGAGCCCACCCTGTGGAAGGGTAGCCAGATGTTAACTGACGAGCCGCCTCTCCAGCCTCCAGAGTTCCTGAGAGGCTAGCATGAGCGTTACCTGACATTGGAATGTGTTTACTCACTGAAGGGGGTGTCTAATTCACTATAGTGTCCCCCCCCCAAAAAAAAAACAGTGCTGCATTCTTGGTCTCCAGGGCTGCTGGCCATCGGGAGGTCACCTGATTTTACCTGAGAGGTGACATCACATAAGCCCAAACAGGAATTTCAAGTAATAAGCAGTCAGTGCCCAGGTGGGGGGTGTAGGGGGTAAGGGTGGGGGAGGGGTGGGACCTGAGAACTGGCCATACCTGACTGTGGATTGGGTCCCAGAATAGGGACAGTGTATTCTTGTTGTTTTTTGTTGTGAGATAGGGTGTCAGTATGTAGCTTTGGCCGTTCTGAACTCACTCTGTAGACCAGACTGGGCCCAAACTCACAGAGATCACCTGCCTCTGCCTCCCAAGTGTTGGGATTAAAGGCGTTGGCCACCATGCTTGGTATGGGACAATGAGGTGTTTGTGTTTTGTTTGCTGGTTTGTTTAATGTTAAAAAAAAAAAAAAAAAAAAAACTATTGTAGCACTTAAGAGAAGTGGATAAAAGCCTGGTGGTGGCCCACACCTTTAATCCCAGCACTCGGGAGGCAGAGGCAGGCCCATCTCTGTGAGTTCAAGGCCAGCCTGGTCTACACATCGAGTTCCAGGACAGGCTCCAAAGCCACAGAGAAACCCTGTCTCGAAAAACAAAACAACAAAACCAAACCAAAACAAAAAAAAGTGAATGGGGTCTGTAAATTGGAAGTAGATCAGGGATCAGGATTGATTCTTGGGGCTGGAGAGCCAGCCGAGCAGTTAAGAGCACTTGCTGCTTTTGCAAAGGACCAGAGTTCAGTCCCAGCACCACACTGGGTGGCTCCAGCCCCAGGTGACATATCCTAATTTGCTTTCTGCTGCTTGATAAACACCTTGACCAAAGCAGCGTAAGAGGGAATGACTTCAGTCAGTACACGGGTTTTAATCCAGCAAAGAGAGAAGCTAGGCAGGAGCTCAGAGCAGAGGCCATTGGGGACAGTGCTTAGCAGCTTGCTCCCTGGCTTCCTCACCTGCCTCGGAACAAACGGTACAGGCCACAGGAAGCCAGACCCTCACTCACTTCAATCATTAATGAAGAGGGTGCCCCACAGACACACCTTCATCCAATCTGAAGGAAATAATTCTTCAGTTGAGTTCCCTTTTCCCAGGTGAGTCTTTACGTTGTACTGTAAGACCCGCAGAGCGTGGACCTTCACGCTCCCACTCAGGAAAGGCGACACCCCAAATCACTCACGAGAATCGGTCTGGATGCAAATTGCATGAGGAGTTTTTATTCCAAGTGCACTGGGGTCCACAGTCATACGCCACGCAGGGGTAGAGGACTGAGGACCCCGAGGGCAGAATTGAGACAGCTTTTATAGGATTTACATCAGAACTAACAAGGCCAGTTTCAAAGCTAGCCTGTTATTTTCACTAGGCCTAAACGCAAGGTCATGGGACAGTTCAAAACTTGGATGGTTAATAAGGTTTCCTAGGTTACAGAGATTTCATAGAGTACACAGTTTTTACAAAGCGGAATTGTTTAGTGCACCTGCAAGGTTAGGGGATTTTCTTTCTGTAGGACCAGCAGGCTCAGTGGCCTTGTCCTTAAGATAATGGGGGGGGGGCAGGGAGAATGTCCTCTCCAGTCAGGGAGTTATCTATAGCTATTGGCAGAGGCACTTGTTCTTTCTAGTTTTCCCTTCTTGCCACGAGTCCCGTCTCTTTTATTAATTTTCTTTGTGGATGGGATGACCCATAACAGTTCCCAGACTGTTGTTGCGGATAACAACATTCCTCAGAAACTAGGTGGTTATGAATAATAATAATTTCCAGAAACCGGTCACCGTGACCAAGCCATTTCAAGTGTTTTCTTTTTCCTGAGCTTTGCATGCAGCCAGTGTGATTTTTAAATACATGCTGGTGGATAATTTTAAATTTCTAACTTTTAGTGGTCATTAGAGAGTTAGGCTGTATTTTCGTCCTTTCAAGACCTCCACGCAGGGACAGCCCTGACACACACCTGGCTTCAATGTCTTTCTCTTAGTCACAGAGGGAGATTCCATAACCCCTTCCTTCTATCCTGACTGCAAAGCCAGAGCCACATGGCTGAAGCTGCCAAGTTCTGCCGCCTGCTGGGGCTGGAACACGCCCCCCCCCCCATGCAATTACATCTTCACCAGATTTCTGTTTTTGATGATTTCCTTCACTGCCTAAGCCTGGCTGTGGTGGAACTCAATTTATAGACCAGGCTGGCCGGCCTCAGATTCAGAGACCCTCCTGCCTCAGTTTACAGAGTGCTGGGAATTAAAGGTGTGAACCACCACTCCCAGCCCTAAGATGTGCTTTGTGCTTTTCACACCTTGGAAGCTTATCTGGGTGGGACCTGCCCTGAGGTCTTCACACCAGGATTTTCTTTAATCCTTGTGTCTCCTTGGACGTTGGTCTTAGCTCCATCCACTTCCTGGTGCCCTTTTCTGTATATTTTGGGTTTTTCATTGCTCAGCTTGCTCCTGTAGCAGGATGTCCACCCCGCCCGCACCTCCTCTTGCACTTACCACGCCCATTGGGGCGTGGGAACAGGTGTGGGCGTGACCTGGGGGGGGAACTAGGTCTGTGGGAACCTGTGGCGGTTTCTGGTGTGAGTGATTTCTCCCCGAATAAACATCCATCGGCCAATATTGTGCCCTGGAAACTTATTTCCCATGCATTCCACTATAGATCTGCATGAGAGTGAACTCTAATAGCTACACAGCAGAGTCAATACTAGGCTGTTTCGGGATTTCCTCTGCTAGTGCAACTAATCCAAAATGCTTCAATTTTGCTTCAGGAAGACTTCTTAGACAAGAGCAAAAAAGCAGCCACATTCTTTGCCAAACTATAACAAAAACTGATCTCTAAGCCACATCCTAAAACTCTTCTCTAAAACGTCACAGTTCAAAGCACCCTGTGCACAGCTGTTTTTGTGCTCCTGCTAGGATGGCCGCTTAATTCCCACCTAAATCATTCATCTGCTTTTCTAATCCGCAATCCCAAAGTCCACATTCCTCCAAACAAAAGCAAGGTCAGGCCTAGCACAGCAGTACCCCAGCCCCCGGTACATGCTTCTGCCTTAGGGTTTCTGTTACTGTGAAGAGACACCATCACCACAGCAGCTCTTCTAAAGGAAAACATTTCATCGGGGCTGGCTTACAGTTCAGAGATTGAGCCCATTATGTCATTGAGAGATTTCTGTACCCCAATATTAAGTCTCTCCAACAACGCAGTAAGCCAAATCACGCCGAATTAAAAATAAAAGATCAAGTTTATCGAACAAAGGGTCCCTGGGTGACCTTTACTGAACAAAGGGTCCCTGGGTGACCTTTGCAGCCCCCAGAGATGAGAAGGCAATGTAAATACCCTATAGATTAGTCTTGAACAGCTCTGAGGGAGGAGCCACTACTTGGCAGGCTTTCTGAGAGGAGCAAGATTTGGAATGGGGGAATGGGCTGAGGCAGAGCTTCCAACTGAACATCCCAACCTTTTTGGATGTGTGGGCATCTGTTCAAGTCTGGCTGCTTCCTGTTGCCATGGAAGAGCACAGTGAGGAGGAGTGGGGAGTCAGTGAGCTCACACTCATCGGGAGGCGCGTGAAGAAGCATTCGATTTCAGATCTCAGCAATCTTTCTTGAGGAAGCAGAGAAGGCAAGTTGCTAGGAGGAAAAAAAATGGTTTATTATCACTGGCTCTATGAAC